CGTTAGTTCTGGAGTATCATTTTTGTTCAGTCCAGTTTTTACAAAAACTTGATTCGGAACTGTTTGTACTTTTGGAAAAAAAATGTGGCCTTTTAATTTAAAACACTTGAACCTTTATTTTCTACAACATGGACGAATTCAAATGAATTTTCAAAAATCAACTTTTTCTTTGGTTCAGGATTATTTTGTACAAACTCTGAGCAATCAACGTCATTCTCTACATAAATCTCACTCATGTTGCTTTCATCAAATTCAGAAAAATTCTCATGATCATGAGCATTTTCCAAATGCAATTTATTGCACAATGAGTCATACTTCTACGTAGAATCTTGTTTGATTTCTTCTTTGTCCTAATCATTTAACATTTGTTTCAATGTATTTTTGTGTTCTTTAGACTTAATGTATTCTTCTATTTTCTCAAGTCCAATTTTATATGAATTTGAAACATCATCAGAAGAAACGATGGATTCATACTTATAACAATATGCATCGATTTCATCCTCTTTCAATTCAAGAAATGTATTTTAGGGTTTGAAACCAACAAAGTCTAGTCTTCTTTGGAGATCTCACTATATGAAAGATCAGATTCTGAATCTTCTTTAGCCGCCTTCTCTCCCTTTGTGACCAATGCTAGGGATCCCATGCCAAAAACAATATTCACCTCCTCCGTAACTTCATCTTCATGGGATCTCAGAATTCCCGCAAGCTTTGCCAATGAGTAGCTCTTAAACTGTTCATGTGCCTTCTCAGTAGACACAATAGCTTTCCACTTAGATCTTAGTCAATTCATAAACGTGACTTTTCATTCAATTACTTCACGACTGAGATTGTGTTTAAGCATCCTGCTTAACAGATGATTAAATCGATTGAGCGTCTGATCTAGTTTTTCATCAGATTTTTGTGCAAACGCTCCAAATTCTGATAAAAGCAATGTCTGCACAGAGTGTTCTAAATCAGCGTCACTCGAATAAAGTTACTTTAGCATATCTCATATCTCCTTGGTAGTAGTACATGCACTCACGAGACGAAAGGTATCCGGTGGAAGCGCAAACCGTATAATTCTCATCGCCTTTATGTTGCTCAACAATGTATCCTTTTCATCCTGAGAAACATTAGTGTGCTCAACAAGAAGTGCATTGTATTCAACCTGAGCCTTGATAACCTTCCTGGTTGCAGTGTGTGAAAATGTCTCATGAGTCATCGCTTGCCATATTGTTGAACCATGTTCTTTAATACCTAAACATAGTCTTCAAAGTGCAACGCCCAGACTTCATAATCCTAAAGGAAGAGGATTGAAATCCTTGTAGTGGATCCAATACTACTAGAAAGATTGAACGATAAAGAAAGATGATCTTCGTACTGCATGATGTAGAAAATTCACAAAAACATGGATATAGAATCAGATGTGTAAAACGAAACTTCAAGTTTTAGGGTAAAAACCAAAGATTTAGATCTAACATCTACCATCAATAGAAATGATCAAGACAATGGGAACAAATCCAAGAAAAACACCAAACCCTAATCGAACTCGACAGAAGAATAGTGACTAAGTTACATTATCTCCCGCTCTGATACCAATTAGAGAACAATAAATAAGATTGATAGATTCTATAATAAATAATGTGAATTGAATAACAAGAACAAATATCAAAATAGTGCTGAACGCTTTGATTATAAAAGCTCTAGAAGAGTTCAAGGAAGAACTTCTCTGTGAGCACTAGGTAGGACGACCAAAACGTTAACTCTAATTGATACATACATGCACTATAAATATCTAACACTAGAAAAGCAAAACCATGAATGGACAGGCCCAAACCGGTAAAGAAGACTATACTAGCACATATATTTGACAACAATACATTTAAAACCCAACAAGGGATGAAATTCAGATCGTAGTGATAGAAAGATGGTGACCGGTTGTTTAGCATGAAAGATTTTGGGGTCCTTAAAGTAATGAAGTGATTTCTATTTGATCCTGTGGTGTTTAAATTTTGATCCACTTAGAAATTTGTAGGGTTTACGAGAGATCTGTGGTGTTCAAAATTTGATCCATTTGTAAGAAAATGGTAGGGTTAAGAGATATTCTAAGAGAGAAAGTTGGATTAGATGTCAAATGGAAGTGGTAGATATTTGGTATTTAACAGAGATTGTTTTGAGGAACCAACAGAACCGATTGGGAACCCGACTATGTAATTCGATTTGCCATTCCTCTATACCCATAAATTCAGTTCTCAGTTTTTCGGTTCACATTTCAGACCCTAACTAGGAGTGAGCAAAAAAAGGAATTGAAAGAATCCGGATAGAATTACGACCAAGAGATGAGTTAATGATACGATGCAAATCACAATGCCATTTTGTTGTTCTAAAATATGCCTACTTGCATCATACCCAAGATTCACGATGTAGGGTTTTAACAACAATGGCATATGAAGCTTCCAGAGCATTAAGCACAATAGAAACAATAAGCTAACAATTCAAAAAACCGAGTATCAGAAATGCCCATGTTCTAGGGTTAGGGTTTGTTTCTATGAAATGAGACCATATGAAGAATGTTTGAATTGAGAATTCAGAAAATGGATATATAACCGAAGAGTAATTTACGAAATTAAAGAACACTGAATGGAATTAAACATCAAAATGCATTCGATTAAGCTACTTATTTCTTCTTGCCTTTACCGGCGCCGGACTTCCGCTTCGGTGGGATTATAATCTCACCTTTGAGCGTCGGAATCTGCATAAACTGATCCAAACCGCCGACTCCACCGAACTTCTTCCGGAACTTCTCAACTTGATCGGCGTCGATGAGGTTGGCGGAGCGACTGCCGAGGTAGAACGGGTGGTTGCCGGACCAGACATCTACGACGTACTCTTTCTTAGTGCCGCCGGTGGTGAGGACGTGGTCTCCGCTGCAGTACACCTTGGCGTCCTCGTAGAATTCGGGGTGGATGTCCTTCTTCCGGCAAGTCCATCGCGCTTGATTTGGGGGGGATACGGATGCAGCTACCTGATAAGAGAAAATTGAGGAGGGTTAGATTGAAATTATGATGCGAAATGGAGGGTTTTAGGTATAGTGTGACGACCTTTTTCATGGATAGTGTTGGAGGAGGAGGATTTCTGTGCAGGAAGGAGTTGGATAGGCTTATCGCCATTTTTGTCTGTGGGTGTGCGAGAAAGAAGACGATGATAGCAGATAACAAGATTAGGAAATGCCAATGGGTTTTGCGTTTACAAAGAAGTCGAGTAGGCAGCAAAATTACAATTTTGACCTTAAGTTTTTTGAAATTTTTGATTGGGCTAATACCATAAAACTAGTTATCTACAACTAATAGTACTTCTTTGTGATTTGAATAATTCGTTTTTTAAATTGTTTTAAGTAGAATAATAAACAAATTTTGGGTTTTCATTAGTCATTACACATAGGATGTGTATTTCATACGACCAAATTTATATTGAATCTTACATGATGATGTTTATTATAGCATCCGGTATGATAAAATATATTAACGTATTTTAATATATGTCTTGATCGTTTTATTTAATATAATAGAATTATTCTGTTGAAGTTCACTTCAATAATATAATAGGACTCCCAAAAAATTATTATTCGGTATAAGTAAAAGATAAGTGGCTGAAACAACTAAAAATATTAATTATTTTTCATTTATATAAAAACTAAACCAATGCTACTATAGAATCTATGTGTTTGGATACCCATAAATCCGCTACTATAGAATCTATGTGTTTGGATACCCATAAATCCGCTACTGTTAGAGATCAAGTTGGTATAGATTGGGACACTGGTAATCATCGTCGTATGCCTATGGATGGATAGAGAAAAGTCAATGAGCTATTTTTTTAGAGACCATGCAAAATCATTATTTTGAGGATAGGAATGACAGATTGGGTTGGATAGCTGATACTTCAGATGTTTTTCTGTTTTTGTAGCTCGCTCTATTATTGATTCTAGCTTACTTCTAGTTAGTGGTGGTGAGGCTAGGTGGAATGATTGGGTTCCTATTAAGCTTAATATTCTTACTTGGAGGATCAGACTGGAGAGTATTCTGACTAGAGAGAGATTATCATACCGTGGGGTTGAGGTGGAGTCAATTTTATGTCCGGTATGCCACACGTTTGTTGAAACTACTAATCATATTTTTAGAGGATGTAGAGAGCTGATTGATATATGGAGCAGGATTGCAATTTGGTGGGATGTTCAATACGTGAGCATCTTACGGTTTTTGATATCCGTTCGTGGTCCTATTCCCTTCATTCGAGAGACGGACAACGCATGGCTTTGATGCAGTAGTGATATCAGCCTTTTGGTGCCTTTAGAATTTTCGAAATTCCATCATTTTTGGAACGATGTTACCTCGAAAATCTCTTATTTTTTATGATATTGTTGAAAAAACATTTTTTTCCAATAGGTATAGTAAAACTAAGTTTGTTTGGACTGCTTGGCTCCATAATCCTGCTTTAGCTTCTATTATATTGTAATGTTTCTTTTTCTAGCTTCGTGCTAGTTTTAAAAATCATCCGTTGTTCCAACAAAAAACGAACCATAAAAATTTAAAATCTTTAATCAAAATTATACGAAAACAAATACCATACATAAACGTTATATCCAAGATACGTCTTAAAAGACAAATTTTATAAATTTTCTGTACAATAATTATTGATTTGTTTTCCTTCTAATACAATACATTATGTTTTACCAATCTTACAAGTCTAATGATTTTACATCATTTTAATCTTTAGAACTAAAATATACTTGAGACCTTAATCACTCAAGAAACCTCCTAAAATATTTAGGATAAATCCAATCTATTCCATTTCTTTTTAACAAGCCAAATATTATAAATGGCATTGGCTAAGGCTTAGGCCTAGTAAAAGTAATTACAAAAAGGTTAATTGGTTTTTGAAGCCATAAGACCCGATTAGTTACAAAAAAAAGTTTATTTATGCTACAAAACCAAAGAAAAGAAATTTATTCCTTTCTCTTTATTCATGAAAAGATTATGTATTCATGAAACAACAATCTCCTACTGTAGTTTCATATTCATATTCATATTCATATCCAAACATTCAAACATCAAAATGGGAAGTAAATGTATGTACATGTACACTTCCAGTCATATAACACATATTTCCCAGATCTGGTAAATGACTTACAAAAAATATTCAAACAATTCTTCAAAAATTAATTCATAATTAACTGAAACAAATTGTTCCTGTTTCTGCTTCAAAGGCTGCTGCTATCTCTCCTCTGAGTTAAATCTGTTCCAAGCCGCCTGTTTCATTTTCGACTTAAATGTTAGTAAATGACCATTTTACCCTTCTGTTTAGAACTAACGCTTCAATAAAAAAAATGATAACTTAAGAACTATTACAAATCGAAAATGTCTCGTTATATAATATATGCAAAAAGACTGTTTGTTCATTTTTGGAGCAAACGAACTGTCGGGATGTGAGTAAATGACCATTTTACCCTTGTGTTCAGAATCGATGCGGAATAAAAACGATTGTTTGTTTAAGAACTGTTATAAACTGAAACGTCTGTCCAGAACAAGTGTTGTATACACAGACCTATTTTTACCGAATGATTTGTCGTAATGGTAAATGACCATTTTACCCTTCTATTTAGAACTAATGCTGAATAAAAATTGATAACTTAAAAACCATTACAAATCGAAAATTTCTTGTCTTGACTATGGAGCAAGTTTTTATATATAAATATACGCAAAGACTGTTTGTTTATTTTTGGAGCAAACAAAATGTCCGGATATGAGTAAATGACCATTTTACCCTTCTGTTTCAATTTAATGCTGAATGAAAACGACTATTTATCTAAGAACTAACGATGAGCTAAAACGTGTGCTGTATACAACTAAGCGAACTAAATATATAACACAAAGACAGTTTCTTTTTGGAGTGAATGATAGATAAATGACCAATTTACCCTTGTGTTTCAAATTTGCATACCTTCAAAAGATCGAAAACTTTTTCACATATATACTTTTGTTGAATACTTGCACCTCTTTGTTGCAGCTTATCAGGATGAACACAAAGAGTGGCCTTTCTGTAAGCTTTTTTAACTGCACTTGTGGTTATGATTTCTGTCAGTGACACAGATTGCCAACCACTCTCAGGTCCAAGAATCTGCAAAAAAAAAAAAATGAATATTTATATTTTGGAAATATAAATAAATAAAAAAATAAGTTTTTTACGTACATATTGCAGAGTTGAAAGTAATGCGCGTAAGTTTCCTTCTTTCCCAGATGACCATCTTTTGATATCAGCATCAAGATTATCAGCTATTCTCTGTAATTACAATTGTAAAGAAATTATAAAAGGAGTAAATTACTGAAATCGTCCCTGTGGTTTGGTCAAAATTGCACGTTTGGTCCCTAACTTTTTTTTGCACTCGGATCATCCCTGTGGTTTGATTTTGTTGCGTTTTTCGTCCCTGTGGTTTGATTTTGTGCATTTTTCGTCCCTTACATACATAAAGTTAGGGACCAAACATGCAACTTTTACCAAACCATAGGGACGAAAAACGCAACAAAATCAAACCACAGGGACGATCCGAGTGCAAAAAAAAGTTAGGGACCAAACGTGCAATTTTGACCAAACCACAGGGACGATTTCAGTAATTTACTCTTATAAAAATTTAATAAAAAGGGTTAATGTCATAAATGGGTAGTAAAATGGATTATATTTGGTTACTGAATTATGAAAATTAATGGAATAGAAAAGATGATTACGCTTCTTTCAGCTTGTTCTTTTTGGGCAAGCTGATCACGCTTTTCTTTCTCTGCAAGAGCTTTGGCCTGGAAAAGAACAAGAAAGGGTAATTTGGGAAATGAATTGGTAATGTTTGGTATGATGGAATTGGGGAAGGAATGGAATGGAATGGTTGATTCCGGTGGAATTGAGAATGAAATGTTTGTTTCTGAACTCTGAAGGAATGTGATTTCTTGGATTTTATAAATTGTAACCCATTTATATTTAAGGAAAATTTTTAATGACGTGATCTTTTTTTTTTTTTAACTTTTCATGATTTTAATAAATCGTTATTTTATTTTCTAAAAGTTATAACTACAGTCTATGTTTTTTTAGGGTTTGATTGAATGAAAAATACAACATTTTTTAAGTGATCAAAATGTTGTGTCTTTTATGCAAATAGCATTTTATACTTTTTTGCATAAAAGACAATATTTTGACCACTTTTTCAAAACAAAAAAAAACACAATTTCTTTAGTGGATAAAAATCAAAAGTTAGGTCACTCTTTTGGCTTAGATTGTAAATTAAAATTTTAGGTCATACCCAAAAAAAAGTCAAAATGTTGTCTTTTACGCAATTAACCCCATTTTTCTATTACAATCTGATTCGGGTTTTAATATTTTAATAAACTTTTATTACGCTTAATCATGTAGTTTTGTACACATCTACATATAATATAAAAAATTTCTTCAATGAAAATCCATTCCATTCCTACTGGACAACCAAACATGATTAAGGAATGTAATAACTCATTCCATTCCATTCATTTCTCATTCCATTCCATCCATCCAAACAAACCCCTAAGGAAATTCTTTAATCACAAAAAAGTAGCAAAGATAAGATACATACCACATTTTCCTTGATCCTATTATGCTTTTCTAATATTGCTTTACTTCTCTGAGCCGATTCTCCACTTGTTCCATTTGAAATGTGTAAATCCTGTTTAAAAAAAAAAAAAAAAAAATTATCTACATTACTTTTCCTAACATAACAAAAAGTCAAAAACAATATATAACATCTGAAGTGATTGAGAACAACTTACAGAAGATGTTTTTCTAACATCGGTGACTTCAGTTCTTGATTCAGACACTTTCTTTTGAGACATTGCTTTTTCTAAAGCTCTTTTTCTAGCTTCAGCAGTAGCTCTCTCAACTGCAGCACGTTCTGCTTTAAGCTTTGAAGCTATTTCAGAAGCTTTCATGGCAGCTTTTTCTTGAACACCTGCCATTGCTCTTTGTCTAACTTCAGCTGTAGCTCTTTCAACAGCAGCCCTTTCTCTAGCTTCATTAAATGAACGCTCACGAGCTTCCCGAATTGCCCTTTCTACTACTAATCTATTTCTCTCTCTTTCCCTTTCTTCATTTGTTGCTTCTTCAACCTTCTTTTCTTCTTCTTTTTCCACCTCTTTTCTTGCCTCAGTTTCTTTACCTTCATCATTCATGTCCTTTGCTTCTTCAGATGTTCCTGTTTCCATTTGAATGATAACTTCAGGTCTTTCTGAATCAGATTCTTGAAGATTGATTTCTACTTCTTCTTCTTCTTTTTCTTTCTTGATTGTTTCTTCTGTTTCTTTACATTCTTTAACCTCTATCTCCATACCATGTATCCTATCTGAACATGATTCAGATTTTTCATCATTTTGTTCAGGTTCCTCCATGTCATGTGACACCTCATCATCATCATCATCATCAACATCAGACTTTGGTTCATGTTCATCTTGATTGTTTATGGAGGCAGATTGAGTTTGATCTTCAGAAATGGTTTCAAAGATTTCCGTAATTATTGTTTCTGTTTCTTGTAATGTAACTTGTGGTGAGCTATTGCTGACATCATCAACTGCTTGACTTGATTCCTCAACTTTGGTATCGATTTCAATACGATTTGAAACATGGAAGCTATGGATGCTTTCGCTTTCTTCTGCATCATCATAATCACTCGATGAATTCTCAATTATTTCCACATCACAAACATCATAAAAACTCTCACCATTGTCTTCTTCTTCAATGTGGCTTTCAGTGTCACTTTCCTCTTTCACTTCCTTTTCTTCCTCAACCACTTTCTCACTTGCTTCATCATCACTATTTGATTCATGAATCTCTGCAATTATTACTACTTCCTCATTGTGTTCTTCTTCAACAACTTCCTGCTTTGTATTTTCCAATAACCCTAATGCTTCACTGAATCTCTTCTCATAACAATTTTCATCATAATCATGAGATGTTTTCTTCTCTTCTTCTTCCACCTTCTGATACAAAGCTAAGTTGTTGGTTTCTTCAGGAAGCTTATTAGAACTACTGGGTCCCACCTCATCTTTATTCTCCTTCGACTCTATATTTTCAAGTACAAAAAAACCATTTTCTCTCTGATTATCTTTCTTCAAAGATTCATTTTCAATCTCTTCAGAAGACCTTGTTGCATGTTCTACAGCTTTTTCATTAGAATCACAAACAATCTTATCATCTTTTAACTCATGAGAAGATCTCATTGGTATCTCAGAGTTCTTTTCTGTTTCCAAACTTTTCTCATGAATTTCATTTATAACCTTTTTGACACCAAAAAGCTTCTCAACATCTGTAGATTCTGAAAAAACTACTGTGTCTCCATGCTTATGATTTGAAGAAACTTGTGATGCACTTACATTTGTCATTCTAGCTTTAAAGATTTCTTTAATCCAATTGTCTTTTTCTTTCTGTTCTTCACCTGTGGTTACATTTTCCACTCTAGCAGCTTTAACTTTCAAGCTATCTTTGAAACTTTTGCTTGAAAAGCTTTTAAGACCTTCTTTCTTTCTACCCACTGCTTCCTTTGCAATACGTATACTTTCTTGAGCCTTTTCTATTGCTTTTCTTAAAGCAGCTGCAGAAGCACCAGCAACCGAATTGACATCAAGTTCTTCATCAAAGCAAGTAGAAGAAAATGCTCCAGGAGCATCACTTTTCCATGTCCATGTATTTACATTAGTTGCTGAAGTTGCAGGTGGCGATGATGATGATGATGAATGTAACTTGAAATCAGCCTCAAATTTCTTAGAGAACCGATCATCAGATAAGGATTCAACAGCACTTTGTGAAGTTTGTTTCTTAAGAAAATCATCATCTGTTTCAGATGATATTTTCTTATCAGTTTCCTTCTTTGATTGAAGTATTGGTTCACCATTTGTTGCAGAAGCTGTAAGTGATGGTGATACTTTGGAATTATATGATTTGAGATTGACATTTTTATCATCTTGATGATCTTTTCCTTTAGATTCAATGATAGTTTCTGAAGTTTGCTTCTCAAGAGAATGAACTTCATTTGGTATAGATGCTTTTTGCTTCTCAATTTCCTTCTTTGGTAATGATTGTGATTTGGGATCAGTCTTTTTATCATCAGATAAGGATTCATCTTGATGATTTCTACTTTTAGATTCAACAGCTTTTTTCTCAGGAAAATCTCCCTTGATGAAATTTATCGGATGAACATTATTATCTGTTTCAGATGATTTTTTCTTCTCAGTTTCCACCTTTGTTTGTGAAGCTGCTTTAGTATTGAATGCTGAAGCTATAGGCAATGATGATACTTTAGAGTTATCTTTTTTATCATCTTGAAGATCTTTACCTTTAGATTCAACAGCAGTTTTTTTCTCAAGAGAATGAACTTTATTCACTATAGATGCTTTTTGCTTCTCAAGTTCCATCTTTGGTGATGAAAGTTTGGAGGAATGTGATTTGAGATCAATCTTTTTATCATCAGATAATGATTCCTCTTGATGATATTCACTTTTAGATTCAACAGCAGTTTGTGAAGTTTGTTTCTCAGGTGAATGAACTTTATTTGATACAGATGATTTTTGCTTCTTGGTTTCCTTTTTTAGTTGAGAAGCCGATTCATCTATAAAACAAGTAAATCCAGGAACAACATGTAATTGTGTCACATGTGTTGTTGTTTTCCCATCTAATCCATCTTTACTCCTTGGATTGATCTTGTTATATGACATGTTAAATTGCTTCAATGCATCAAAAGATTGATTATTTAGATCATCATCAAGATCTTGAGAGCTTTGGCTTGATGACAATCGAGCCCTACAAAGAAGATTAATAAGAAGAAAATGTTACAAAAGAAAGGGAAATGGTTAAAGAAAAACAGCATAAGATAATATGCATGAAAAAGATTGCCAATTGTTTAAAGATAATTTGCTAATTTGATGACAATGTAGCCACATGGAAGTAGAAATATAATGGGGAATCAAGATTTGATACTATAAATAGAAATTCAAGCCGAATACGAACAAAAATGCTAAAAAGTTCAACCACGGAAATATTGCATATATAATTAATGATGTTGGAAATCTTGAAAAAGAAAATATGTGTAATTTGAAAAGCTAAAAACCCTAAAAAAAATTAAAAGATCATGGCTTTCATAGCCCTAAGAAAGAAAGAAAGGTCACTTACATAAAATTTACATTACACATATATACAAGTAAAGGCTAATTAACAAAGTAAATCCGATTTTATTTCAAAATGGCATCTTTCTTTCATTAGGGCAAAAAAGTTAACTACTTACGCATGTCCTAAATCTTTGTTCCCTAATTCTTGGAGAAATCATGCTAGTGAACAAAGCACTACCTAAATTACTTATATAAGTTGCATAATCCTATTGAAGATAGTTACCACTTTTATCAAGACATAGGTCAGAAAACCCTAAAAACTAAAAGATGTCAGGTGTTTAGGTGTTGTGACCTATTAAAGAATGATGAAAGAATTTGAAGTTAGACATGTGTTCATGATATAATTTATATGTGAAAAGGGGATCAGGGTAAAGTACATACAAATCTAGACTTCTTTTTCAAGAACATCATGATTCATGAATGCTGTCTATATATTTTTTGTTTCATAACGTGATAAGATATAGCTATACAAATCCACAATGATGTTCTTCATTTTGGTAATCTATGTAATAAATCAGACCTACACTTTTACTCGGCACTCGGAAATTTTTAAACTTCACATTAACCAAAACTGTGCATAATGATTTCGCAAATTGCATCTCATAGAAAAGCTATATAGGAAGAAAGAAGAAGAATGCAAGAATTGGGGTTAGGGGTTTGGGGAATCTGAATCAACGAAGAATCAGAAGCCAAAGCATAAACTTTCGATCGATAAATTGTAAGGATCGATCTTCCGGATAACCATTTCATGTAATACGAAGTTCAAAAAATACAACTTTTAGCCAAATGACAAGACTTTTTTCAGAAATGGTATCGCTGACGATGGCAAAATCATTTCAAATGTAGAAAACGAAAGGGGGGAAGTTGCATCATCTTCATCGAGACAACATAAAACGACAAGTTATCTCCTTCAAACACTTTGAATAGAAAGAATCATGACTTTACCTAGCTTTATCTCGAGCAACCAACTCTTCATAAGAAACAGCGATGTCTTCGTCACGAAATCCACCAAAAATCTTACTGTAATCTGGCTTCGTACTCCCAAGTTCCAAATTTGAACCATCAGACGATTCTTGTAAAGTTGAAAGATCAAGAACCGGAATCGAAGAAGCAGCTTGACCGCTGCTAAAAATCTCACGGTACTCATCAACGTTAACAGCCGGAACTCCGTCGAACTTGGGTCGGTGGCCGGAAAAGACTCCGTCGTAGGCGTTCTTACCGGAGAAACTATTGGCATTTGACAGTTTTCTTCTGTGAAAAGGACGTGAGAGAGACTCCATTAGAATAAATTGAAGGTGAAGCTCCACTCTCTCCCTCCCCTTCTCTTTGAATCACCTAGGGTTCGTTTACTTTGTCCCTTGAATAATAATATTATAATTATAAGGGATTTAGTGAGAAAGGTCTTGGGTTTTGTTTGTTTGCAGGGGGAATTCTGCAGAAACAGGACAAAGGGAAGGTGGAGGAGAAGGGGGAAGTACTCTTTTGGTGAAACTCAATGTCAAGGGTATAAATGGTATTTTACTATATCTAAATAATTATTAAATCCAATAATAATTTACCATTTATGGTTAGAATGTAAAACGTTGGATTTGACATGCCCTTGATTTCAAAATATATTTTGTGTAATAAACTAAATTACAAAGATTAGATAGTTGTTATTAATGGTATGGTCAATGTATAGAATAGGAATTCAATAAATATGACAAATTGTATCATTATGTTTATAAACTTTTAAATATTATAAAATATTGGTGGTATCATATATAGGTTTTTATTTATATACTTGAGCCTATTTTTAATAATTATACACTTCATTCTATTTTGACTATTAAATTTTATAACATAGCATTAAGTGTTTGCTTTTTTATTAAATGTGTTTTTTTATTTTCTCTCACACAAAGACACATACTTCTTTTAATTTATTTTTATTTAGATTTTAAAGTATAAGAATTTTTAAACCGGGATATTATCTCTTTAAAAAAAAAATAAAAAAAAATACATATCATGTTTTCTCAATTTGGTGAATAGACATAAGCAAAAAGTAATTTTCTTTGTTTCTATTATTATATTCTAGAATTTTTATGAAGATTGTATTTACGTATACTTTTTTTTGCATGATTAATAAAAAAGTAACCGCAAATTTTCTTTGTTTCTATTATTATATTCTAGAATTTTTATGAAGATTGTATTTACGTATACTTTTTTTTGCATGATTAATAAAAAAGTAACCGCAATTTCTTTTGTCATATATACGATTGATAAACAACTAACCTCCAACTTGAATAAAAAAGCATATCAGGTATTTTAAAATTTGTTTAATTGTCATAAGAAAAAAAAAATCTTTGTTTCTAGGGTAAATAACACAAAAGGTACTAAGTTTACACAAAAATTCTAATTTGATATTATGTTTTTTTTATCAAATTTGATATTGTGTTTTCTAATTTTTTATAATTCTGACCACTTGACTGATCAACCCGATTACCTGCTGATGTGGCATAATGACGTGACATATTGACATGACATACTAACGTTTCAAATTTAATTTTTTTCCCCACAAAAAGCACTAAGTTTGTTTTTTTAATTTTGACATCTTTCAATTTTAACATTCTATTTTTTTCTTCCAAATTGAAAATCATTTTTTCCAGTTTTGCTTGTTGATCATTTTTCATTTTAAACGGTACAAGTTTTTTCTATATTTAAATCATAATTTTATCTATAAATATGTATTAGTTATATAAAAACGATATTTTATATTAAATATGCAACTTTAAAATGAGTTTGGAGACGTGTAATTGATCAAGGCCCAGAGGTCAGGTTAATCCTTAAAATTTTTACATCTTATTCGAAGTTTATGGTTAGTTTGGTTCTAATGATATAACTAACATATTTTTATGCATAACATTATGATTTGAATGTAAAAAAATATACTTATATAAAAATGTGGTTTTTAAACGAAAAAAAATGTATTTATATGGTTTAAAATGTAATAAAAAAATAAATTTATATGGTTTCAAATGAAAAATGATCAACATTAAACAAAATTGAAAAAATGATGTTCGATTTGGAACAAAAAAAACAGAGTGTCAACTTTGAAAAAAAATTAAACTTAGTGTCAAAATCGAAAAAAAATGAAAACTTAGTGTCTTTTATGGAAAAAAATCAATTTTGACACGTCAGCATGCCACATCATCAAAAACTAACACGTCATCATGTCATGTCAGCAGGTAACTGGGTAGACCGGTCAAGTGGTCAGAATTATAAAAAATTAAAAAACATAGTATCAAATTTAAGATAAAAACACACGGTGTCAAATTAGAATTTTTATGTAAATTTAGTATCTTTTATGTTATTTATCTTTATTTCTATCATCTTCATAATTACCAATGCTACTGCAAATATTCAAAGTACTCAATGAATTATTTTTACTTTTTTATCTTTTAAAATTTCATGAAATATATGTTATTTAAATAGAAACAAAAAATAGTTAATTAACTTATCAAAATTCTTTTGATTTTAAAGTTGAATTTAATCCATTAAGTATTCAAAGTTATTTTATTTGATTCGAATTAGATTTTAAAAATAATGTTTCACTTTAAATAAAAGATATTAATAATTATGATAATAACTGTATAAAAATATTGAGGATTCAATCGAGAATTGACTTTTATAAATACAAAAAATTGATAACTTCAATATATATATATATATATATATATATATATATATATATATATATATATATATATATATATATATATATATATATATATATATATAGGGTTAGGTTCATGTGAGACGGTCTAATTTTGTGAGACCGTGAGACGTATTTTTTTTTTTTTTTTTTGTAATTAATTCAAGTTCCGAAAATAATATTTAAAAAATAATTTTTGGATTTTTCCATTTATTTTGTATTTTAAAATTATTTTTTAGAATATGTACAGTGTAATATTCTATTAGAATATTTCACATATTTTTAAAAAAAAAACGGGAAATTTTTTTTATATATTTTTTATTTTTTATTTTTATTTTTTTAGTTAATTCAAGTTCCGAAAATAATATTTAAAAAAAGAATTTTTAAATTTTTCCATTTATTTTGCATTTTAAAATTATTTTTTAGAATATATCAGTGTAATATTCTATTAGAATATTTCACGTATTTTTATAAAAAAATGGGATTTTTTTATTTTATTTTTATTTTTTTTAGTTAATTCAAGTTTCGAAAATAATAATTAAAAAAAGAATTTTTGGATTTTTCCATTTATTTTGTATTTTAAAATTATTTTTAGATTTGGTGTTATGGTCTCACAAAATTAGAATGGTCTCAAATGAACCTGAACCTATATATATATATATATATATATATATATATATATATATATATATATATATATATATATATATATATATATATTAGTTGTGAGTCTCGTATATTATACGGGTTGATTAAAACAAAATGTTAAATAATTAGAATTAAATGGGAAGTTTATTTCAATTTGAAAATTATGAGAAAAAAATCATACAAAAATAAATAAATTAAAATTATGTGTTTAGTTATAAGACTTGTGTATTAAACGGATTAATTATAACAAAGTTTTAAACACAAAGGTTTAAACTATAATTTTATTTGAAATTGAAATTTAAAATTTAAAATTTAAAATTAATCGTCATTATGACAGGTTTAATTTATGGAAACTAAATTAATGATATATTAGAAATGAAAAATAAAGTAAATGACAAGTGTAAAATAAAACTATCTCAAAATTATGATAAAATGACATGTGATAAATTGAATAAAAAAAATACATATGTCAAAATCATTCTTATATATATATATATATATATATATATATATATATATATATATATATATATATATATATATATATATATATATATAGGCTTAGGTTATTGTGTTCTAATTAATTATTGTGTAGATGTAAGAATTATTGTGGATCAATCATTTTAGTTATTTAAGAAAGTCATTTATTTATATTATTAAATTAAAAATATAGAGAATAATACCATTTAATTTAAAAAAAAAAAAAAAGGTAAAATTATACATTCCATTACTTTCAAATAGAAAACACTAAATTAAGAAAGGAATTTTCAGATTTTAAGGGATTTTTATATCATTTTAATTTTGAATTGAAATTTTTGTAATTAATTATTTTTTAATTATGTTAGAATGCATATTTTGGTAGAATACAAATTCTAACATATTGCATATTCTCATAGAATACATATTCAGATTGAATGAACATATTGAAGAATATCAAAATTTTGAACCATGAGTTAAGTATAAGAACATTCTTAAAGAATATTCATTTATTTTTAACAATATTCAACAAACTAATGTCCAAAAATAAACAAATAAAACAAATTATAGTCACATTTTATAAAATTAGAATGTCATTCTTGGAATATTTGGCACATTCTACAAGCATATAATTTTTTATAGTAAGTCCTTTTGAAAGAATCTTCATTCCATAAGAATACAATATTTTATAGGTAATCATTCTTGAAAGAATCTTCATTTTTATTATTGGTGTGGTGAATCTCAATTGTCATGAAATTGTCTCTTAGTTCTCACCCATCATTGTTGTTCCAAGTAAATTTGCTACATGCTGAGTTGTCGTGAAACAAAACATATACAAATAATGAAGTTCACGAATGTAAATACATACAACTCTCATCAAATAAGATATACAAATATTAGACCTTCTATGCAAAAATTGACATAATAAAGAAAAAAAAAGTCATTTTTCTTGTTAACTGTACTTGAGGTAACATTAAGTTTTCTGCAACAAAACTTTTTCTAGCGTTATGACATAAAAAAAAACAACTGTTATTAAAAAATGACAACGTTTTGTATAAAAAAAAAAAGTTAACATTTATAACATTTTGTATAAAAACTTCACTTGTAGTAGGTAAAAATAATAAACCCGATATTAATTGGATGGGAACAATCTGAATAGGCATAAGAAACGGTCTTTCTGGTGAAGCACAAAAAGCAAACTAAGCTTCACGACCCATTCAAATAGAACTTAACCACTTAGAATATCATTCCAACACTTAATCTATGAATAGCAAACAAACTTGTGTAAAAAAAATAAACATTTCTACAAGTATAGCCAATGATTAATTTTAAACACAAACACCAAGTCACATTTAGAGTAACCTTAACCTATAACTACCCTTTACAAGAAAACAATTCATATTTTTAGAAAATCACAACATGGGTTGTTTTAGATTCAAGCATAAACAAGACATATCATACAAGCTTTGATTTATGTAACTTTTTTAATCCATCACAAAGGAAAAGATATGTTCTTGAAATAATATTCACCTGCAAATAGAAGAGATGTAAGAATGAGAATGGTCTAGAATTCTTTAAACTGTACTTAACCCGGGTTACTGGTCATAAGGATGCTTTTAACTCAACCAAGGTTACTTTGTCCACCGA